AAACTCTAAACCCCGCAAACAGCTCGTGGAAGCCCCTACAAACCGTGTAAACAGTGAACCACGCAGACTCCACAAGCCCGGCATAAAAGGCCCCTAAACCCTAAACTTTCCCCAAAACCGAAACCCCTAAACACCCGGAGCTCTTGCCACAAAACCCGAGACCCTAAACGCCATACAAGCGCCCTAAACATCCCTAATCCAGGCCTGGCTTTCCAGCTTCTGCCGCTTGGCTTGCGGCTCCTGCTCCGCCTGCTCGTCATTGAAGCTAAAGGCTCCAACAGGGTTTCTTTAAAGGTGCCTGGTAGGGCTCTAGAGGAGTTCTATATTCAATAGGAGTTGTATGGATTTGAGAGTTTTGGGGCTTGAGGGTTTCCGGCAGTGTAGAAATTGGGGCGAGTGGGCTTTCCAGGATTCGGAGTTTGGAGTTTGGGTGTATCCATGGTGCGAACTATTGCGAACTAGTCCGCACAAGACTCGGTCAAGTGGACGTCCGAAATTAGACACTGAGCGATTGCAGCGGATGAAGCTACCTCGGGTTAAAGTGCTTTGCAAATTATCTTTTACCTGGGGGCGGGGGGGGGGGACTATTTGCAGACGTGCCGTCTGCTTCTCGCCCTTTCAAGGCTGTAGCAGGGTTCAGCGTCAAGGTTGACTGCCGAAATACTTGGTGTATCTACCAGGTTCTCCGGTGCTGACTGTAAAGAGCTCAAACCAAATCTCCCACAGCACTAGCGCCCTGAGGCTGTCAGGGCTCCGGCACTTTGGCATCAACTTGCAGGGTTCCCCGGGTAAGAATTCGGTGGGACTTACTTGTGAACCTAGGCTGTGCTTGCGACATGAAGCCGGAGAACACAAGACTTTCAGCTGAAGCGAATGCTTCAAGCGTCGCAGCCAAAACCTACAAATCCTACAAAAAACTCCACGGGAACGTCCAAGTAGCATGTGGGTGGTTGTCAAAATGATGGTCCCTTTTCGGGTACCCTAAATATTAGGTGCCGTATTATAATAAGGACCCAAAAAGGGACCCTAATTTTGACAGCCACCCATGTATACCGTATACCGAAGGAGTGTTGCCTTGGAATGTCGCCGAAACGACAGGCCCGAGGACAGGCTGAAGACACAGCTTGCCCTGGTCCCGCAGAAGTAATCCAAACCTAGTGTAGGGGCCTTCATAAGTAGAATGGGTTTTGGGGGTTCATCATACAACAATACGAAAATAATAAGGAACCCCCCGAAACCCTATTCTGAACAGATGTGAACAAACCATCACCCAGACGATGCTCGAAGAAGACAAACGACCCTGCAAGCCTCTTTGGAGGCCGCCACAAATCGGGGTGGCACCACACCACCGGCCGCGCTGGCCGTGGGGGCCCTGGCACAAAAACTTTCTGTTTCAGAAAGTTAAACGAAATCTTGTAGCTGAATACAACGGCCTGAATAATTAGAATCCCTTATATGTGCCCGCGTTCCGCGTTCTCGACCCCCCCCCCCCCCCAATGGTATCCCCCCCCCCCCCGGCGTGGAAGCGGAGGAAGCACAAACCACGGACAAAAGGAGAGAAGCAAGGAAAGCAGAGGAAGCAGACACGACGGACAAAAGGAGAGAAGCAGAGGAAGCACAGGTACCACAGGGGGGGGGCGAGAAGCAGGCAGAAAAGGAGACAAGCAGAGGAACCAGAGGTACCACAGGGGGAGGGGGAGAAAGGAGACAAGCAGAGGAACCACAGGTACCACAGGGGGGGGGGGTACGATGGGGGGGGGGGGGGGCGCAGATGCTGGCACATATAAGGGCTCCTTCTAGAGTCGGCAAGGGTTTTACGAGCGACAAGAACTTGACACAGGGGCCGGAATGCTTGCAATAGGGTTGTGGAGTGGATTCTTCGTGATACTTCGATAATGTATGTATAGGTATTCATCATAAAATAGTATTCAAGTTCGGAGTCCTGGTTACTGATCTCGCATTTCCCAACTCAAAAGCCCCCAGCGAACGTTTGTCTGCTCAGAAACAGGCGGGTGAGGCTTCACCACGTTGGGCAACGGGTGGATGCCACCGTTCTTGGCGACCACCGGCGACGGTGTCGCTGGCGCCTTCTCCAGCCCCCAAAGGCTCATCACACTTGAGGGTCACGGCTCTTGGTTCTTGAACTCGAAACCTCCCAGTCCGAATTCAACTCACGCTCGAGGCAGGCTCTCAAGGTCCACGGCGCTGCCGCCAGAGCGCCAAACGAACTAACTCAGTGTCCTATACTCCTCAGTCCTGCTTATCCGAGGGAGACTGCAGCGCAACGGCTGGAGCAAGTCTCGCTGCAGGTAGCACCTTGCGGCTTCGCACACACACACACACAAACACAAACACACACACACACACAGACACACCTACGCCTCTGGTATCCATATAATGTGGCGGTCGGATTAATAGTGGGGTACCCCCCCCCCCCCCCGACCAAAAAAAAAATTCTATTTAATATGGAACCGGTAGCCCCCGGACAGGGGTCAGGGGTCGGTCTGAGTGGCAGGGAATTGGGAGGTGCCGGGGTTTGGGGGGTTGGCTTGGGTGCAGGGTCTGCGGTTCTGCGCGAATGCGCGGTCGGGGGTCGGGGGGGTCTGGGCCAGCGCCTGAAACCCTGAACCCTGAACCCTAAACCCTAACGAATCCTAAACTCCTAGACCCTATAACAAACCCTAAACCCTAAGCCCTAAACCCTTCCAAAGGGGGGTCGGTCCAGATTCGACCCAAAACTTAATTTTTTATACAAACTTTAGTACTGGAGAGGCCTCTTTTGAGCTAGGGTCCAATCCCCGATTCGGCGGTTCACCCTAGCAGCCCCCCCCAATAATCAAGGTATAGTAGAATAGTAGTACAGTAGTAGTACAGTAGTAGTATAATAATAGTGCAGTAGTACAATAGTAATACAACAGTAGTACAGTGGTAGTACAATAGTAGTACAGTAGTAGTACAATAATAGTACAGTAGTACAATAGTAGCACAATAGTAGTACAGTAGTAGTACAGTAGTAGTACGATTATAGTACCGTAGTACAATAATAGTACAGTAGTAGTACAGTAGTAGTACAATAATAGTACAGTAGTACAATAGTAATACAACAGTAGTACAGTGGTAGTACAATAGTAGTACAGTAGTAGTACGATAACAGTACAGTAGTACAATAGTAGTACAGTAAGTACAGTAATCGTACAGTAGTAGTACAATAGTAGTACACTAGTAGTACAGTAGTAGTACCACAGCAGTACAGTAGTACAGTAGTAATACAGTAATAGTACAGAAATAGTACCAATAAGCAAAGCATAAAGCCAGTGAGTACATTCCCCCCAATAAGCAAAGCATAAAGCCAGCGCCTGAAACCCTAAACACCGAACCCTAAACCCTAAAGAATCCTACACTCCTAAACCCTATAACAAACCCTGAACCCTAAGCCCTAAACCCTTCCAAAGGGGGGTCGGTCCAGATTCGACCCAAAACTTAATTTTTTTATACAAACTTTAGTACTGGAGAGGCCTCTTTTGAGCTAGGGTCCAATCCCCGATTCGGCGGTTCACCCTAGCAGCCCCCCCCAATAATCAAGGTATAGTAGAATAGTAGTACAGTAGTAGTACAGATTTTCATTCCTGACGCCCCAATAAGCGAAACAATTCTGCAAGAGATTTTCGGGCTTCAGGGCCAGGGTTTTAGGGTTGGGTGGGGGTTTGGGTGGGGGTTTAGGTCGTGGATGCCTTAAGATTGACCATCAGCAAATAGCACAGCCCCGCCACCAAAAAATCACCCCAGCCAAAAAAAAACGCATTAATTAGAACACCCAATTTTTTTTGCAAGATTCGGAATTAGCCCCGGAGCCGACGCATTAAAAGAGCCTATATTCCTAAACCGACCCCCACATTACACACATTTATAAAGAAAGAGAAACGGAAAGAGAGAGAGAGAGAGAGAGAGAGAGAGAGAAGAAACCTAAAGCCTAAACCCTTTTTGCAACTGGCCTGCTGCGACTCCGCCAGGACGAATACTTGAAACCCTAAACCCCTAAACCCTAAACCAGAAACAAAGAAATAGCGAAACAAAGAAAGAATTACGGAAAGAAGTAACGAAATAATGAAAACAACTAAATAAAGAAAGCACGAAAGAGAGAGAAAGAGAGAGAGAGAGAGAGAGAGAGAGAGAAAACAAAGTAGAGAGAAGAAGAGAGAAACACCTGACTCCAGGCAAAGTCTGCGGTCACTGGGTCAGGGGCGGCTTCCTTTGTGTCGGATGCCGGTGCCTATAGGCAGAGACTGCACCATCAGTCACTTCATGGTACAGGGCTTTAGTTCTGGCTCAAAATCTTGACATCATACTGTTGGCAAACATGTTCCCGCATGCAGCATGCCCAACTAACATGGCACCGAGCCATTCGTGTAGTGCAGTACAGAGTCGTGAATCTCTTAAAATTTACAGGTCTTGGGGTGTTTAAGCACGATTACACCCAATGAGGATGCCACCTCTAAGCCCTAAACCCTAATTATAATATGTCATTCCGTGACTCCCATGGGGGCTCAGCCGAGCGCTGGAACTGAGCTTCCCACAGCTTCAGGCGAAACCACACCGGCGGCCTGAGAAACTCAGCGCTTGTATATTCTGCATAGATAAACATAGATATGTGTATACCATGTAAAAATTAACTTGGAGCTTTCGGGGATTTGGTAGGTAGGGTGATCAGTACCTTAACTGAGTTATCAACTTGTTACCTTACTTCTATAGAGTCCCAGGTGTTTTCTTTAGACTGAGGGTCAACGCGACATGTAGCACGAGAGGCTGTCAACCACCCCTGTAGCAGGTGGTGGTCTTTGGGCCCTCGCAGCTCGGACAATCCAGACGAGGTTCTTGATGCGCGTTCGGTTTATCACGGTTCACTTCATCCAAGCATAGTAGCACCGCATTTTTGGTGACTGGGCTTCATGGTAGGAGATGTTGTCAAGGCGTGCCACTGCAAAAAGCACAGGGAGAGATCGCTAGTCGATGGATGTCATTGTTGAGGTTGCCACTGGCTTCGCCGGGAATCGTGCGGCCACGACCATTCCCTGCCAAGCAGGGCGGCACACTGCACTGCATGTCACGACATTGCCACACGCATGGTGCCGCCTTGCCTTAGGCTTGACCGGCGCCGCAGCTGCTACTTCCGAAGCCGCTGTTGCCGGCGCGCCCGGCACAGGGCATGCTGTGGGTGCCGCTGTGGTGGAGGGTCCCGTGGGCAGCGTGGCTGGGACGAAGGTGGGAGCCTTGGTTTCGGTGCCCGCCTTGGCCTCGGCCGCTTTGGCCTCACGGCGTGCCTTCGCTGCTTTGGCCGCCTCCAGGAACTCCGCTAGCTCGGCCTGGCGCGCCTGCTCCGCAGCTTTCGCCGCCGCCTCCTCGGCCTCGGCCTTTCGGGAGGCCTCCGCCTTTGCCCGCTTTGCGGCTTCGGCGTCCGCCGCGGCCGCCTGGCGCGCCGCGGCCTCGGCGCGAGCGGTGTCAGCCGCTCGAGCCGCCTGCTGCTCGGCGACCTTGGCTTTGGCCTGAAATCAGGACTTCAAGAACCTCAACAAGACACAAAGCTGCACTAATCCTCTTGAGCCCTGCCTCAGACTTTCTCCTCTCCAGCTCCTGCCAGGGCGAGTAGGAGTTGAGGTGATATGCAAACTCGTGGCCTTGCATCGGCTGCGATCCTCTTGCTCAAGCACGCCGGCGAAGTCTCGTGCCAGAAACCTGGATGTCGGAGCAACGTGGCTTATGGGTCAAGGATTGAAGCAATAGCAGAATGCAAATCTGCGACGTAAGTCGGGCTCGGGTGTGGTGAGTTCGACATGCCTTATCAGAACGCTACTTGAGATAGATAGCCATACTGCTCAGCGCAGCTGGAATCTTTCTGACGAGGCCACAGCTATATGAACCAATCGGTTCCCAATATTCTCTCGACTTGGACAGAGGAAGCTATGCCCCTGTCCTAAACCCTTGTTGCATCCAAGCACCTCTGCAGTCTTGAAAGGGGAGGGCGAGTTGGTAATCCCAAAAAACTAAACCCCTAGAGATGCTGAGCCTATCAATAAACCTGAGCACGCGAACCCATCAGGAACGGCTACTGTAGCAGCTTCTGTTTCTAGGGCCGAGAGGACCGTGTCCTGCTTGCCGTCTTGAATCCTGTAGACCGCGCCATCCCAATGCAAGCACACAGTTACATAATTATCTATCTGCTTGTCTGCCTACCTGTTTGAATTTATACATACCTGGACCCATTCATGCAGCACGAAATACAGAAATACATCTCGGAAGTCCACAAACATTCTGACTAAGTGCTTCGGGATGCTTCCTTCTTCACACAGTGAGCCCCACATGTACATAGCCTTACGAAAAAGCCACGCGCTTACTTGAAGGGCCAGGGGGCTTACTGACTCCCAAGTAGGGCTGTATACACCTGAGTTCATCTGATTTGGGGTTAGAGGCTACTAAGTAGATCTTACTAACCAAAGGCGTCGCACATATAGCCGGCCTACTATATCCCGGGTTTGGCAACTGGAGGCAGAGGGGCTTGTTGAAGTCCCTCTCGCTTTCCAGGTGCCGTAAGAGGCGCAAGACCTGCCGCAAAGCCGTCAAGAAGTTTATATAGGGGCCTTAATAATTAGAATAGGGTCTGGAAGTATATCGAACTATAAGTATGATAATGAACCTCCAAAACCCCGTTCCAATTATTAAGAGCCCCTATGTTACAGACTAAAGTCCAAAGCCTTTTAATGCACGGGTTTTGCAGCATTGGCTTGAGGGTACTGCCATGGTTTTGCCCTGCTGGGCTCGGGTTTCCAGCCAAAACCCGCCTCCACTTCTGACCAATTGCTTCAACTACTTTTTCCAAAAAAACTGGGGGGCGGATCTCGTGCCGGGATCCTTAGGCTGGGAGAGGTTAGAAGCTGCCCCCACCCTGTAATAGTGACTATAAGGATTGTATTAGGGCCCTATTATATTCCTATTTTAGCACTATTACAGGGTGGGGGCAGCTTCTAAGGGACAGGCTTCAAGAACTTAGTCTTTTTTAGCATGGGCTTGGCTAGAGTAGCAACGACCACTTGATGACAGCAGAGCCTTCTCGCAAACGAGAAACCCGCAACACCACTCAGGGGCAAACTTCTGGCTGGGAGCTTGATGGCACTGCCGTGGGGGAAAGAAAGACAAGGAATCATGCGAGCTTCCCATAGTCTCCATTGTAGTTCCTTTTTGGGGTTGCACTATTGGAGCATAAATAAAGATCTCGCCAAGCCAAAACGAAGCTACAATGGCGACTATAGGTACCCGTCATGTCAAAGGCCTGGAACTCTAGAGCCTGCCTAGCCACGTGTAGTCCTGCGGGACGATGAGTTCTGAGTATAAAAAAGGCTTAGGGATTCGCTGCTCGCACTCGGAGACTGCAGGCGAGGCATGTTGCGTGAGTCGGGTTCGAGGTGGAACCAACACTGCAACAGCAGAGGAAGACGCCACCATATGCCACCATACAATCCACTAGAATGCCACGATATACCACGGGTTAAGGGGTTTAATTAGGGGTTTAGGGTCAACCTTTCGATTATGCTCGGAAGTCAACAGCCGACAACAGTTTCAAGGATACCTACCCAGCTCCCAAGTAGCTCTCAATCCCAACATCCCTCACCCCCTGGCCAGAGCACCTTGACCCTAAACCCTAAACCCTAGAATCCCAAAATCCCCCCCCCCCTGGCCGGCACACCTTGGCAGGGCGTGTCTCGCATGCTCGGAAAACCATCTCAAACCTGCGACCGAAGCTGAACTTGAGTTTTACCCCAGGGTTTAGGGTTTAAGGTTTAGGGTTAGTGATTTTTGCTTTTTGGCTTACTTGTATAGGGCCCTGAGCAAAAAAATTGTTAAACCGAAAAACAATTGCAACAATGACCTCCGGGTAGAATTCGAGCAACCTATCTGGGCTGAATAGTCTAACATCGTCAACCATCCGACATGCTGACCCCGTGCCCAATTACCTGGGCCCCATTGCGGGTGGTTTTGTGTGCCGCTATGCCCATTTGTCGCCGCACGCCCGATCAGAAATCCACAAATTCGAAAGCGGGAACACACAACCCGAAATGCAGAACCCCAAATTATAAGCTTCAAGCTCCAGAAGCCTTTTCTTGTCGAAACTGGTCGCTGCAGTTTGCGAATGGCATTCATGCTTGCCCTGGTCTGAGGAACCAGAGATGAGAAATGCTCAGAGCAATTTCTTCAGGCCCCGCGGCATCACGCAAATTACTGTGTTTAACACATAATGCCCCAGAAAACCACCATCCGCCGTACAACAGAGCTATGGCAACACCGTACCTGCATCCTATGATGTCCGGTATAAACCTCTCAAGCTCAACTCCATATGTATGGTAACTACAGGCGATGACGTTACCAAGTATTATTGAGGCCTCTATGCTGCGTGCAAAACCCGGTTAAAGCATCTAGAACCTCAATTCTTACGAACCCTATATAGAACGGAAAACCTAAACCACAAAAACATCTGATTCCTACAACAAAGCCTTAACCGGCCTTTTCTGAACCCAGGCTCATATCCGGTTTAGACCTTAACCCTGATGTCTGGGCTTCCCGGCCGGGACTCGAAAAGCTCCTCGACCTCAAGCTTGCAGGGCAACCCCTCCGATACTATACTGTTGTTACTGTTACTGTTACTGTTGTTGTTGTGGCTGCTGTTGTTATGCTTAAGCTGGCATTTTGTATGATCGTTATGTGCTTTTCGTACCACGATCGTTGCCTAGCTTATACATACGGATTCCCTCCAACACTTGGATCTCAATGATTCTCGGGCGGTTTAGGGCGTTTAGGTATGTTGCAAGCGGTGCGAAGTTTTCATATCTGCCCGTCAGCGCCCCGAACTGGCTTCTAGACAGCGAATCGTGTTCAGACCAGGATTAAGGTGCTTCAGAAGCCCAGCCTCATCGACTGCACATCTGTGTATGAGGGCTTAGACTCTCACACTTGCAGATCTACGCAGGGACTCGCTCAACCCTAGAGATTTGGGTTTTGTGAAGGTAAGGTAGGGACTTCGGGACTTCATGACACAACTCCTACACCGGTCAAGAGGTCAGCAAAACCCGAAACCCCCAAACGCCACGAGCTCTGAAAATCCCAAACCCCGAAACCCCCCCCGAAACCCCGAGTCATCTGAAACCCCCAGATCGACTGTCCCGCTGGCCTCCGCAACGTAATCATCAGGATCGCCGGCCACCAGCAGGTCGTAACCTGCTCTCACGGCCCTTTTGGAATCTGGATTTGGTTGATCTTGCTTGTGAGTGTACTTGAAACCATTTTGCAGAGAGCCTTGTGGCAACAGCTGCCTTGCTCGGAGATTCTACAGTGAGTCTCTAAGGTCTGGAAACTTCAAGGACTAGGGAAAAGAAGCAGGTCTTGCAAGACACTGAAATGAACAATGACCAGCGAAAGTGCTGGAGGGGCACAGAATCCAGTGCCTTGTTCCCCATACAACCTAACATCTTATACCATACAATTTAATATCTTATACCGTACAGTTGAATCTCTTAACCGAAGAAAGCAGCCCAGCCAAGCACCCGGCGCGACTGGTCCTCTGGGTCTGCCTCGCCCCAAATAGCGAAAGCTTCCATGCGCGAAGCCTGCCGGTGCCGCTAGTTGGGTCTGAAAACCCTAAACCCTAAAGCCTAATCCCCAGGACTCCTTCATGAAGATCCCCAGTGTTAGCATCCTGGGGATCTTCAGTCAGGCACTAGTATTCTCGGCCCAAGCTTGGCTGGACACACCACTAGGGCGACGATGATGACGACCCTTGCAACCACCATGACCAGCATCGCAACAACAGCAGCAGCATCATCATCCATCAACACCAACACCAACAACCGCACAGCTGCGGCAGCAGCAGCAGCAGCAGTGGCTGCCACTGCCGTTGCGATTGCAGAGTCAACGGCAACAGCACCAACAGCGACAAGGACAAGGGCAAAGTCAGTGCCACTGATTTTAACCCTCCACCATCACTACAACTGCAGCCGACGCTAACCAACAGCCAATGCTGGTCCTGGTGTTGGTGTTGGTCGTCATCATAAGATGAAGCTCCGTCACCACGATGGCATCAGCGTCACCACCATCAGCATCAGCAGCATGACCATTGTCACAACGACCGCATCAGCGTTCGGGGCGATGTCAGCGGTAGCCTCCCTGCTATACTGAAGCTCGCCGAGCTGCACATCCTCTCTACTATATACCGGAAAGCGATGATAAGACAAGGAGTCCAGTATCCAAATGCAGGCATCCTTCTGTTGCTTCTTGTTGCGCCCTCACTTCCTTCGGAAGAGAACAAACCATGCCGCTGCGATTGTACATATTTAGACAGTAGCCGTAGCTCAGTTAACAGGCATTGTCGGGTCTCTCCTTGTCACCACTGTGCAGGGACAGCTCGCGTCCAATGGCGTCACACCTGGGCTTGGGAAGGCTGGCCCCCAGAACAACAAAGGGCAACCATTTCTTGAAGTTTTATTTGATGGGGCTTAGGGCATGCACTGAAGTACTTGGAGTCTTCATACCCACGCCACAGCTTACACGTGGAAATCTTTCATTGTCTAGTTCTGCACACGCACTTGCTACGCATGTGAGTTGTCCTGGATTTCTGGTCCCTTTGTGTCGGCTAGCTAGGGCACCTACAAGGGCTCCACCGACACCTAAAATCGTAAACCCCAAATCCGGAACCCAAACCTCCATGCCCTTATAGAGTGCTAAAGCCATTACGAGCCCCAATCAACCGCATGCGATCACATTGCTGAGGACGCGCACTTGCGCAACGACACCTGAAGGACAGTGGCTCTTCTGTTTCACACAAAGCGGATCAGATTTCTGTAGCATTCTACTACATGTACGTGAGAATCCGTTAGCAGGGGTCCTCATAGGGTTTCGCATGGATTCTACAGGGGTGACTCTTACAACGGTTTGAGAATGCCTGTAAATTACACGACTCTTAGCGATAGGTTCTTTAGGGGTCTTTCTGAAAGGATGATCCTGCCATTTGGGGTCCCGATGGGTTCGTATCTTCTGAAACACCCTTTATAAATTCAAACACTGAACCCAAAGCCCCAGCCCTAAATCCATAATCAAACCCTGAAACCCAAACCAAAAACCCTATACAACAAGAAGCAGATGACGAAGCCTCGGATGCGTCTTCCTACCAGAACTCGGAAGCCTTGACCATGCAAGGGGTTGCAAACTGCCTTTCTCTCCATGGCCTCCCTCGGTATGGGTCCCATCCCAAATTGTTGAAAAATCATTTTTTGCCACCCGCCCAGCTGAAACAAGTCGCACCGCAGGGAACTCATTAAAACAAGTTAACATCCTATCATCAAAATTAAATGTATCAAAAGTCTGCCAAAATCTAACGGAATCTAGGAGCGGATAAAAGTTCTTGTAGCGTCCTCATGGAACCTACTTAATATAAACTCCCAACAAACCGCAAGCGCACTCCGAATATCCAGAGGGTGGAATATATATGCTACCATTATGGCATTAGCCACCAAAGCCCAGTCTTATCATGGCTTTGACCTATACTTCCATAATAGTACTATCTGTGGAGCCTCTCGGATAGACTCCTTCATCCCCCACCCTCACCACACAAGCGTAAGCGCTGAGCGCTGAGCTCCGGCCTCCACTTGGTTGGTTGAAAACTCCTTGCCTGCAGATCGCCAGAGCAGCTTCAGCCTCAGTAAGGTCAAGGGGGGGGTCTAAGTCTACGGGCAACAGGGGAGTGCCTAAGGTCTTCTGGGAGTTTATGGATTTTCGGGCTTCCGATTCGTTCCCCCCTTTAACCCTGAGCCCCCCAAACTCAAGAGCCCGAAGCCCTGAGCCAAGGTCTCCTCTGGGTGGCGGACACCAATCCGATCCGTTGGCTGGAGCCAGGGACGAGCTTGGCTTCGCCAGAAATCCTGGAGCTCTTGATGTAGTTTGGGGCTCCGGGTTCAGGGTTCAGACCTGAGATTTGAAGGTTAAGGATGTAAGGTTTCGCACTGCAGGCGTTTAGGGTATTCTACAAGATATGGTTCATAAGCTACAAACTGCCTAGGCCTGGATGCAGGTTCGCGTTCAGATCCCTGTGTAGAAGTAGAGCCGTAAGGTTCGGGTGGGCTTGGGCGATCAGGGCATTAAAACACAACCAGAACAGGACGTTTGGAGAAACATATACGCATACATGTTTTCATTTTCATATACATGAGTACACTTGAGTACACAGGTATATAAACACAACGTCCGAGCGTTGATCAATGCTCCTTCTTCTGGATATGGTTTCTTCAAGGAATTTCGCGGAATATTGTTTTTCTTCCCGCGAGGTCTGTGAGCGTCAGCATTCAGTAGCAATTACGCAAGAAATAACATGTTACGACAAGGGTCATGAAAAGGCTAAGTTATGACAAGGGTTGTGAGAAGGCCTTGGGTTCGCGGACCTGCCAAATATCAGGGAACGTCCTTCTGCAGGGTACATTTCTGCCTGCTGGCAAATAGGTTTGCTCCTGCTAGTCTATAATGAAGTGTTTAAGCTAGCGATCCTCTATAATTATCCAGGATCAAATTTCACTACTACTACTACTACTATTCTTGCTGCTCCTCCTCCTCCTCCTCCTACTCCTCCTCCTGCGATTTCTCCAAACCCGTTAACGTGTGGCTTCTGTCCGGATCCTGGTCTGCAGAGAGACCGCGGGATCGCTGAGCCGAAGCACCCCCAAAGCTGCGATCACCCGCGCGTCTTTGGCCTGAACGGATGGGTTCCGCTTGTTGAAGGAGGAGCTTGCATCGTCTAACATGTGGGGACGAGGCAGATGTAAGGGCCTGGAGCCTACAGCCTTCGTTTGCTGGTGTTGCTTGCTTCCAGGGTTGCTTTTGCTGCGAGTACTAGTACTATAGTAGAGTACCATTACTCAGCACCGGCTCCATGGGCACGGCCGAATATGCCGTGACTGAACAAAACCCGATCAAACAAGAGTGGGAAAACCGTGTGAACCCCGGCCTGCAGGCGTGCTGCTGATGGGAAGTGGCTCCGCGGATGGTCCAGGACCTCGACCGAGGGTTCTCGCTCTGTAGAATTTTTCGGGATAGGACTCTAACGTTACACCTGGAAACTTCAGCTTGAAGCTGCCAGATAGTCAGTAACAGCCATGTTCGCACGGATTGCCAGATAGCAATCACGACACTCAATGCGACCCTTACTACTACATGTCATGGCATTCCACGGCTCATGCTTCCTGAAAAACGTCGAAGTTGCAAGCACACTGTGACAAAGCTGTAACACTAATTGCCACCGTTGGTCTTGTAGTAGTCAGATATGAGACATGAGCGCACACAGACGATGGTGACAACGACAAGAGCGATGCGTCTTTGCAACTAGAGAGTTTTTAGTCGTTATAATATTAATCTGGGACCGGATGGAACTGAGCATGGCAACCCATCACCGCCAGCATCTCTGTGTCGTCAGTAACAGCAAGATATCATAACCACGACGACGACTACGACGCCGACTGCCACGACTGCGACGATGACTAAGTCCTGCAGCACTAGCAGGACTCCTGCCTACACTGGGCAAGTTCTGAGAGCCCCGGCACCCAGAAGCTGCAAGGACTGCGCGGGCGTTAGCATCGCCGCCTTTGCCGAGTCGTCATTGAGGACTGGCACGACCTTGCCAAGCGGGGTGCTGTCTGAATTCCTGGACCAGAAGTTGCTTGAAGGCTTCTACAAGTTGTATGTAATGACAACAGGCGCCTGTTCAATTGCTGCTTCTAAACATGTTTCTTGCTACGAGTGAGCTTGCAGTTGAAACCTGTGTTGGGGTTGATACGGTTTAGGGCCTAGCGCGTTTTGGGTCCAAGAAAGGCCTTTAGGGTTGGGGGCTTTGGGGCTCAGGGGGTGGGGCTTTACGTGCACTGGTCACTACTTTCGTTGCTGGCTTGCAGGTTACGGCCATGAAATACTGTTGGCGCCTCCAGAAGTCGGCAGTTGCTGGATGGCTTCAGTAAGAGTGTAGATTCTCTTCTTAGCGGAAAGGAGTTCACAGTAGCAATCCAGGAGGAAAAGACGGGTGCCACGACCGGAGTTCAGAGTTCAGAGTATGAATTCTTGGGATGGTGGTTTGACAATTAAAAGCCACAGTCAAGGGTTGACTGTGCAATCGCCGCGGGTGTCGAGCACTGCACCACATAAGACGTTGAGTCGATCTCGAATCTCAAGCTGAAGCTCCACCACCCTAAAATCCCAACATGGGGGCCTTAATGCCCGGAAGCCTAAACCTCCAATTAGGGCCTGAAGCCGGAAAACCTCAAGCCGTAAACCCTAAACCCAACATGACGCCCTAAGGGTCTGTGAATTCATGCCTGAACCGGTTAAAACCCAAAAGGCCCCATATGGGGGTTTTCGAAAACAGGGGACCCTCATAAAGTACCCTAAATAGTAGGATCCTTACCATCAGAACCAAGACTAAGGTACCCCTAATTTTCGGAAACTCCGAAATGCGATGCGCAAAGCCCGGGCTCCAAGCACCGCCAGGCCCGGCCAGAAAGGCCGGCCTCGAGCCCAAAACGGGATTCAGGGTCTAGGGTTTAGGGTTTACAGGGTTTTGGCGTTTAGGGTTTAGAGTCTAGGGTTTAGGGTTTATGGTCTAAGGCTCCATTGTAGTTCCTTGCTGGGCTGACGCCAATAAATAGGACCTTAAATTTATAGTGGTTAAAGGCGGAAAAGGGAACGACAGTGGAGACTCTGGGTAGGGTTCGCTGTTGAGCGCGAAGGCGTATGGCTCAGGGCTCACGATGTTGTGTATGTATGTATGTATGCATGTATGTATGTATACATATATATATATATATATATATATATATATGTGTGTGTGTGTGCATAGATGAATCGATTCATGAATTATAGGGCTTAGGAAGTGTTTGCTTGTAGACGAATGCTTGGGATCTACTGGGCGTGGGATTTAAAATTCGAGGGGATGCAGGCTTTAGCATCCTCTTCTTTGCCGCCTCACCGACGACAGCGAAGGATACTTCTGTCGGCTGTGAATGCCTGTCAGCTCCGTTCTAGCCCTTGTTGCTTGTCGGACCTAGTCATTCGTTGCTATGTATAGGGTCCTGTCCTATGGGCCATTAAACTGGATAACGCGAAAAGGAACTGCAAGACTGCACACAAAAGATTGAAGAATTATTGCGGACTGCCGAATTCCGGAAAGGGGTATAGGTCTAGAAATGCCACAGCACAAAACTTTCCAGGACGATCGTAGGCTGCCAACCTTAGCCAGAAAAAAACAAGCCTCTCAAGCCCGTCTGGGGCTGGGACAGCCATCGCGCAGGAAAACGCCCTCGTCCGAGGCCTGGGCGAAGCGGCGTCTCCTTTAGCCTTCCGTCTAGCGACCAACGGCCTCGGCCCGGCCTGGGCCCCAGGGAAAAATATCCTAAATCCAAAACCCTCAGCCCAAAACCAACTAAACCCTAAAACCACACGTAAACCGTAAATCATGACAATCACCAGGATCTTTACGAGGACCGTAGGTCCCATAAAATCAGGAAGCCAATCAGGGGTAAAGGGTTCAGGTGAAACTTATTTTGCTCTGGTTAATCCCAGTAGGTTTTCGTGTTGGATGCTTGATCACATCATCATGACATGTAAAAGGAATCTTGAAATTTAACAGGGTCGGGAGAACCCTCCAACTCCTCCGCTCCTGCGAAGCTTCAGGAAACCTCCCTGTTCCTCCGATGCTGAAGGTTGTTGCAGTTCCCGTTCGTTTTCCATTACATTGGCTCTTTTCGGGAAGATATCTTCGTTTATGGCTGAATCTTACGGGTCTGGGATCCTGATTAAGAAACCTTGGGCCTTTATTAGGGTTCCTTGTATGAATCCTACGATTTTGGGTGTTATAGGCCCAGGGTTTCCTAATAAGGTTCCTACATTAGCCCAAACGACAATGGTCATTTTGTCAGATCAAAGGAGTTTACCGTCTCCAAAATTTAAAGGAGATTTCCTCGTAGTTCCCTTGTAGCAATCCTTGCAGTAGCCTCTTCAGTAGCCCCTATCATCATCTCTAAACCCCTAGCCCTTCTCTAAGCACGGACTGACAACCCAAACGCTACGCCATAACAGCCCCATCACGACCTAAACCCTGCACCCCATCTTACCATAACCGAAGTCCTAAACCCTAAGCCCTAAGATAACCTAAACCATAAACCGTACCATCTCAAGGACCCTGTTCAACCAGTCCTTGCCCCAAAAGTTCGAAGCACCGAAGCCGAGGGCAGAAAGCGAAAGCTCGGGGGCTAGCCAGGGCCTTCCTTTCCAGGGAAGGAAGGAGGATCCCAAGGGCTCTGAGGGATCAGGGCATGGGGTTTAGGGGTTTAGGCCTTTAGGGATTTAGCAGGTTTACGCTCTCACAACTCGGACATGCCAGGCGAGGTTCTCGGTGCGAGATCCGCGTGAAAAATGGGAACGCAAGGGTTTAAGGGTTTAGGGTTAAGGAAGGGCTCTGAGGGTTCAGGGCATAGGGATCCCAAGAGCTCTTGAAGCTCTCAGGGTTTGGGGCCTGAGGTTTGGGGTTTGGGGACTCTTAGAGTTTCTATGCTGAACTTAGAACCCTAGCACAAATTATGATTTTAGCTGTTTCTTAGGGATTATAATAACCAAAAATAAAAAAATATTTCTAAGTACCCCTAAGGTCAGGGAAGCCATGGGCTCCTAGAGCCCCAAAGGGCTCTTAGATTTTGGGATTTTGCTTCTGGTTTTAAAGGGTTCCCTAGGGCCCCAACCGCCCCAATAGTAAGTTGCAAACCACATGCCCGATATTTAGGCAACTGAATCTTTACGGGATGCTTCTTGCCAAAGGCTTGCTGGCTTCGTACTATAGAGTTGAGGCCGGGTTGTAGGGTTCAGTTTAGGTGTTTTAAAGTTCAGAACTGCGGTTTAGGGTTTAGGGCTCGGGATTCTTAGGATAAGGTTTAAATTTTCGGCCTTCTTGAAGCTATAGGGGGAGTCGTATGGCAATGATGCTGCTGCGAAAGTGTAGGCCTGGGGGGCTCGCTTTTTTCCACAACGCAATAGGGGAAGAGCCGCGGCACGCAAACCCACTACAAGCCTAAATGAACCCAACACTTGTACAGGACTTAAACGCCTGAAGCAACACAATAGCAAGCATTCCGGATATTGGGATTGACTTGGTTTCGGTCATTAAGTGGCAACTGTGGATTGTGGTAGCTCGGTATTGAGTGTTACTCAAGCTCGAAATGACTTCTTCTGGGATCGTCGTGATGCACGTCCTGAATTTCAATTTAAGCCCCATCTCGTTCAAATCTTGTTAAAACAGGCTGCCACATGCCGCCATGATTGGGCCATGCAAACTTTTATGTCCAAAACTCCGCAAGACCCTGTTTGAACGAGGTCTCTCCCCTGAACACTGCACCACACTACCCAGAGGGCCCCAAAGTAGTTCCTTTTTTGGGCCCGTATACAGAATCCTATAAGGTAATCCCAAAAAGGAACTACTTTGGGGCCTATGGGTAGACACAGCAAGCCCACCGGGAGCCACCTTGCAGAAGAGCTTCAGGTCGGGGAGCAACTTCTTCAGGGCCTTCATCCCAGCAGGTTCAATTCTTTGTTTGTTTCAGCACCTTTTTCCGCCTGCTTCCAAGCTGACGGAAGGCCGAGGTCAGGTTCAATTCTTGGTGGTCAAGGATTTGGTCTCGGTGTCGCGTAAAATCTACGATTTTGATTTCAGTAGTAGCCGTCGTTGTCGTCGTTTAAAACCCTTCTGCAACCTATGTAGAGACCTTGCAAACTTTATCCAAAATGAAAAACTATCCGTCCGAACTCGCACCCCTGAGCCCGGCTCATGTCGCCTCTGTCGGGGGAAGCGGAGACTTGCTGGCCTCCGCGGATAAGGACTTTTGTGCATGGGCACCCGACGCCGAAAACCTCACGAAGAAAAGGTCCATCTGCGGCCCAAAGCCTAGAAACATAAAGCAAGCTTCGAAGCCCCAACCTCCGAAATCACGTGACCCTGAGACCTACGGGAAGCGAAGCTAATTAAGCAAAACTCCCCCTGCAACGATGTGGTGCTGTGTCCAAAAAACTTCTTGTCAGAACAAGGCGAAGTCACTGCAAAAATACTCGCAATCGTACTATCAGAAGCAGTAGTAGTAGTCGTAGTAGTAGTAGTAGCAGCAGCAGCAGCAGTAGCAGTACTACTACCATGTAGTACTAGTAATAGTATTCATGAATGCTTTGAGCAGAAGGTGTGGACGTTGCAGGTAAAAACCTCTGGGGCTATGAGATCCCGAGAAGGAAACTGTCGAGTTCTTAGTTCTTTTTTCCAAAAGCCGTGACTAAGGCTACGGCTTGTGAGTGCTTGACGAGCCTGCTGTGTTTCAGGAATTCTCTCATCAGTTGTTGTGTGTGCGTGTGTGCGTGTGTGCGTGTGTGCGTGTGTGCGTGTGTGTGGGTGTGTGCGTGTGTGTGTGTGTGTGTGTGTGTGTGTGTGTGTGTGTGTGTGTGTGTGTGTGTGGAGTTTGGCGCTACGAAGCGTAAAATGCTTGCAAGAACTCTCACCGAAAGTAACACGATTCCACGGGCAACTGATGTCCTCATCAACCAACGCCGCCATCCTTGGATACACATGCATTTGGCAGACGATTGAGAACCACTGACAAAGACAGAATCCTAAACCCTGCTCCAAAAGGATACCCAAAAGCCTGTGCTCTCGTTGAGCTTCCAATGCTCTCCCACTGCTACCTGAGCCTTACAAGGTGCTCTTCAGGCTTTTCTGGGACGATGAGTCAATCAGTCAATAAAGCCCAGGCTAGTAGCCCAGACGAATGACTCCCATTAAATCGTCTAAACGGTTGTTCCCAAGGCACCTCATCACACTTCGTGCATGGTCTGCATCATGTGTATCTATCATCGGTGATGCTCTCGACGCTTCTGCTGCTGCTGAGCTATTTTGGTGCCAGAACTCCTGCTACGTGAACAGAAGGCGGCAGTGGCATCCAACAACTTTCGAGCTGTGTTGCCTGCTGAATGACGCGAAGTCCCAAATCGCACATCCGAAGTCGAAGCCCGCTTATTCTCGCATCACACGGCTTACTGTAGGCCTTAGACCCTGAGCGCAAGCTGTAGGAAGAGACTGTTTCCCCCTGCCACGGAGTCTTTTGGACGCTTGTCGCCCGAACTCTCTCATGCATTTGTCTGCCAGATGGGGGTTGTGCAAGATGGCCGAAGAAACCATCTACTGAATCTACTGACCATCTGCTCTCCATCCAAGCCTAAGTGCAAAGGCCTAATTACTAAGGCTAAGACACTTGTGCACTCTACCTTCCGGAGCAGCATGTGGAGTCATATTCACCGTGCTTTCATACAGCTACAAGTACGGTTTTCTTAAGTATTTGGGGCTCCCTCGCACTGATCCCCAGGTATCAACACAACAAGGCTCAACCTCCAGGCACAGGGATTCTTGCGGGTTCCTGTACTTCGGGTTGCCTCCCGTCTTAGGGGCCTTCAAGCAAGGGATTCTAGTACTCCAGTCCTGTATAGTCCCCTATTCTCAGGTTCCAACATCCTGTTCCAAAAAATCAAAGGTCTTTGCACAACTTGGGGCCATACCAAGTCCACCCTCAGCCCCCTAGCCACAGAAATCCTCGCACAACAGGTCTTGATAACCAAAAACAGCCACCAAGTTCCAGCCCTGATGCTGCACCCAGTTCAACCCTCTAAAAACCGACTGGCGGGACTAAGGCGCCTTCTGCTAGCTTTGAACAACCCCCTGCTGAAGGTAGAAGGCTGCGCTGGGCACTCCTTTTGCCGTGGCCTCATCAACCAAACCTCAGTCGCATACAGGGTTTACAGTTTTTTACTAGTGGGTCTGCTGCCCGAGTTCACAAGCCGAGAATCTCGAAGTGTTCAGGTTTATGCAAGGTTCTAGTAGCACAGAAAGCAAGTTTTTGATTTTTTTACTAATTCAACAAAGTTTGTCTGTTCAGGGTCTTTATAAGGTTTTTGGTTTGTGTCTTGGAGCAGAAGGCGGTACACAGTTTGGGGGTCTCTATACTGTATATAACCTATTTGGGAGTTTTCGAAAATAGGGGACCCTAATATCGTACCCTAAATAGTAGGATCCTTATTATAAGGACCCCCAAAATAAGGTACCCCTAAATTTCGGAAACCCCCATTTCGAAATTCGAGAACCCTATTGGCTGTGCTGCAGGTCACGTGCTCTTTGGGCAAGTCGGGTTAGGAGCTTGGGAGCTTTGGACTTAAAGGGAACTCCGGAAAGTTGGAATATGGATTAATGGTAGGATCCCCTATAATTTACCTTAAAGGGGTTACGATAATGATATTCCAACTTTCTGGCTTCTACTGTAGAGCCCTCATGGTTTGAGGAATAATTCAGCGAACGAAATTGGCTACTTGCTTTAAACAGTGCTGGGTTTAGGCTCTTGAGTTTAGGGCTTTAGGGTTTAGGGCTTATTCCTATCATCCTACATCCCGTTGTCATCAGACTACCCGCCGGCACTTCTTAACCAAAAAGTGTTTAGGGTTCAGTTTACCAGTACCTGGAGCCTATAAAACCACCCCGTTCTGGCGCTGTGATTTCCCTGTATGAGTGCGTAAAAATAGGTAAGTTTGCGGTTCAGGTACACCCTAACCGCCTAACCCCTATGTATATACCAGAAGACATCAACCATGTGCGCCCTTAAGGTACGTCTCAACCCACATCGCTGGAATCTTTCTAATCCGTTTCGCGCAACTCCGGGCCGTATTTTGGCTACCTTCTATGAGCCCCTGAACCCTGAACCCTTCAACATGTACTGGGTTAGGGTTGAGGGTGTTTTGGGGGTTTAGGGTCTAGGATGCTTTGGGTTGGGGTACTTCTCAAAGCGCAGCCGCTGGAATCTGATGGCTCTGAGCCGGGGAGGAAGGCCACGAGCTGATCCACTTTTCCGAGCACCTCAAGGAGCGAAGAAGCATGGCGAACTCGAAATGACTGTTTTTTGTTTAATAGGGTTCCTTTAAGAATTCCTTTAAGGGTTCCGTTAGGGGCTACAAGGGTACACTAGACTTATGCATGGGTGAAAGTGGGAAATTCAGGAGCAATATCTTTAGTTAGTGATTTCGACCCCGTTTTGCAGTACCAGCTTCCTAAAGGCGAGGTCCGCGAAACTCGAGATCTGGAGCCCTGAACCTCACACATACAAAGACGGTGGGGATTATGAGGCTTTAAGGGCTTTGGGGCTTGAGGTTTTATGGTTTAGGGCTCTGGAGCTTGTAAGGATTTCGGATGTAAGGGCTTTCGGGTTTTCGAGAGTTAGCTTTACAGGGTGTCTGCGGGTTTAGGGTGCTCTTATTAGTTTGGGGTTCGGTTCTCAGAGTTTCGGGAAAAGGGCTCTATGGCTGAAGCGTTTAGGAATTTACGGCCCCTAGGGCTTCCCCGGATTCTTACTTATTTCACCGTTATGCTCCATGCTTATGGTGTCATAACCTACTCCTAAGCCTTAAACGCTATTCTGCAAGCTTCGGAGCTACAGGTAACATTGAACCCAACAGCTTTAACACCCTGAACTTTAGTGAAGATGCGTCCGAAGCACTTCAGCCCAAAGACTGTAGCAGCCTTAGTAATTCGAATAGGGTTTTGGGTCCCCTTATACGATAACTATAGTAAGGACCCCCCCAAAAAATATTGGTAACTATAAGTTCAAGGCCCCTATAGTATACATCCTGGTTCAGCCCTACAGTCCAGTAGCCCTCCACCACCCTCCCAAAGAAAACAAGCCTGAACACCCCCAGCTAAATCCTAAACACATGGAGTCCCAAGGCCTGCAACCCGAAACCACCCCCCAAAAACAGATCCTATAAATGCTAACAAGCAGTAGAAGCCTGAATCATTCGACAGGGCCTTGGGATACACTACAGGTCATGGGATATACTACAAACATGCTTACAAGGGTTCTAAGTGCAGTTTACTGATTAATTGTCTAGGTCCCTTTCTGAACCCAAAGGAGTCCATTCCCTCTCTCTCTGCTTGCAGAAGCGAAGCCGTCTTGTGGCAGAGGTGGACGGCCTCCTGCAACAGAGTTGTGGTGTGGGCCGCTGACACCCCGAGGGTGAAGGCACCTAAAATCCATGGCATGAGATCTTGAACCCTAAACCTAAACCCTCAAGTAGGGTTTAGGGTTTAGGGTTTAGGGTTCAAGTGCACACCCTGAGCCCTACAGCTAAGAAAATCCTGGCCCAGACACTCTCAAGCTCATCATCTTCACTATCCAGAACAAAACCCCACCCCAAGGTCTCTCAAGATCATACTCACTTGAGCATGACTTCTCTGTGAGAAGCACTGACTTTCTTCAAACCGCCTAGACTGCTTTATTATCACGGATTTTGACAATTATCCCAAATCGGTACGTAGATCCCGCATATGTGGACCGACGCTCGGTCTTCCCTTCCAGCCCAGATGTCTCGAAATCTGCCCGAAACCTCAAATACCCTCTCTCAGGCATTCGAAACGTCAAGCCCGGCTGCAAGACACCTAAACCCCAAATCCTTTGTCATCCAGAGTATGAGATACTGGACCCTCAAGCTTGAACCTTGAAACTCAAAGCCCGAAGAGCCAAAGCTTGAATCCTATACTAGGTGGGGCTTTTAGAGCCTTTGAAAAATATTAGTAAATAAGATCCTCTTAAGCCCAATAAGGGAAAATATAAAATGTCCCAAAGCCCTACCTAGTATAGGCCCTAAACCCTTGTTGACATGAGGTTGAACTCCGATGCTGCGATCCCAAAACTCTGATGTACGAGCCTCGACAAGGATTGTCGGTCTAGGGTCAGGGTTTACGGTATACATCTAGCCGATCCGACTCTAGTTGTCGCCATGTTTGGCTCTACTTAAATGACCCAATACATGAGTTGTGCTTCTGATTGTGTTTCTTCCGGGTTCATTCATGCCGCTATCTTTCGTCGTACACCCTCAGCCCTCCTAAGCCGTAATTAAAGCCCTGAATTCACCCCATATCTCAATCAAGCCCTATAAATCTCAAAATCCCCAACACCTAAATCCCGAGCCCTGGGCTCAAAAATACAATTGTTGTTGGAACGAAGGTGGATGATATCAATCCTGCATTACCTTAAGGACCCTAAACTATGGGAATGATGGCATATTCCTGATTATGGGTAATGCAGGATTTACTTAGTTGCTGAGTTCACAGGCCCCAAAAAGTGTACACTTTTAGTTTATAGCGGGTAATATTATCCCAAAAAGTGTAAAGTGTATCCACTCAGCTACTTAGTTTACATCATCAACAGGACTAGGTGGGGCTTTTAAAGCCTTTGAAAAATATTAGTAAGTAAGATCCTCTTAAGCCCAATAAGGGAAAATATAAAATGTCCCAAAGCCCTACCTAGAGGAGGTCTCTCTGAAGTGCCTTCATAAGTCGGCCACACCTTGTGCTCCGCACAAGACGCAGCGACTGAACTCTGACAAAACCCTGAATCCTATAATGTAGAGGCCTTACCCAGAGGCTCCATAGTGGTTCGTTTTTGTGGTTCTTATTTAGAATCCTATAAGGTAATCCCAAAAAGGAACTACTATGGAGCCTATAGGTAATAATTAGAATAGG